AAATAAGTATTTGAAGCTCACTCACGTTCCTGAAAGGAGTTGATGTGTCTTCCAGTCTTCCAGTCTTCCTGATAGGCAGTAGGCTCACAATTCATATTCCATGCATTGCATTACATGAAGAACAATACGAGTGACGAGTGAAATTTAAAAAATGGCCTAAATTTGCAGACTAGTGCTCTTATGTTTGAACTTACATGATACATTGATAGTATGTGTGAGAAACTCTTCAAAGGATTTGAGCATTACTCGAGGGATGTTGAGAGGACTCGAGCGCTATATCTCAAAATCTTATAAAAATAGAAATGGTTAAAATTCAGAGCATTTGGAGGCCCAAATATTGGCACCCTCATTTATGGGCTAGGATGGGCTTGGGCTTCTCACTTGACTTGGAGCCTCTGCCTCTGGCGTCTAGGGTTTCAGTTGTAATTGACGCTATAAAAGGAGCACGAAAGCTCTTTTCTTCATACAACTTAACTCTCAAACAATACCTTATGCTTCTTGTTGCTTCTTGTTGCTTCGGTGCCGGATTCGTCTTCTTCACCAAGCCTCATAATACTCTTGTTGTTTCGGTGCTGGAGTCGTCTTCTTCCCCAAACCCTAGTGAATCTGTCTATCTATCATCTATGTATGGATTTGAGGCCTAAAATTGCAATTGTTTGATCTTTGTGGATCAAGGAATCTATCCTTAGGCTATAGTGAATCCTCTACATTCGTATTTTATCATATATATATATGTATGTATTCAACCTTTAGCTCCGATTTTCCTTTTTTCCATATAGGATATTATCGGTGACAAGGTTGATACATTTATTTTAATGTTGTTCTTCAAATTTAGATTTATTTTCTGGGTGCAGCGAGGGAGGTGTGATGTTGGATGATGAAAAAAATCGGACGGATTCCCAATGATAACATTATTGTATGATATTAAACCAGCTACTTCTGACTACATCCTTACCTCCCTCTCGCGTCCTCCAAAATTTTCTTGTTTTTACTTTTAACATTTCATTATTATTACTTGTTTCGAATATCTTCAAGACTAAATCTTGGAGATTGAATGGTTTTGGGCCGCTGATGTAGATCAATATTTGCTACTCTTGATGGGATCCTCAATGATCCCATCTGATGATTCTTATCCACCAAGATCTCTGAGGCCTACTTCTCTTTTACTTTCAACGTTCTCAAACCTTTTTTTTTCCATAAATTTCAATTTTAGTTTTTAGTTTTCCATTTTTTGAGAATGGGAGTTAGGATACGGTTGAGAGAGATGATGGATTTCAAGTTTTTGTTATCAAACGGCCCCTAGTTGATTCTTGACCTAATTTTAGTTTGATAGGGAAAATTGGCAATCAATTTATCAAGAGACTGATTCGATGTCAGGTCATGTATGTGTGACTGATATACTCCCCAACAATCAACATACGACGTGCGATACAGGTAGGTAGGGAAAAGATGAAAAAATGGACCGGACAGGAGTAAAATTGCAAATCGCATAGAGACCTATGGACTGGACATGAAAAATAATGTCCCAAGCACAACAGAAACTAGTAAGGATATCCTTCATTAAATAATCATTTACAAATTTCTCCAATATCTAAGTTTTTGTAAATGAGAAAGCAAACAATTAAGTTTTTGGTTATTGATAATATGCTATAGTAGTTGCTTCTTTATTTAGCACAGCAAGTATTCTCATCTCACCTTCCCTTTTTGACTCAAGTAGTTGAGCTTGCTAGATTTTGGTCCAGTTTCAATTTTCAATACAATGCATTCAAATATGGATGATTGGCATGACATCGCATGATTTGTGATCTTGATTAGAAATTCTTTTACCAAGTATAGTATTTAGTTGATCTTTGCTAGATTTCTGTCCACATTTTTCAGTTCCAATTTTGTGTGATGTATTTGAATTTGAATGATTGGCATGTTAAAGGAGGATTTGTGACCTTTACTAGAAATTCCAAGGCTTTTGTTTGGAGGAGTTGGCTAGATTAGTGTCATGATGGTTTGAATTTAGAGACGATGGATCATACACAAAATTGATCAGCCTCAAACCAAGAGGGCAAACTTTGAATCTCAGACTGTGTTGGTCAGCTAATGGATTTTAATTAATGATTTTTGAGGAGAACTAGCAAATTAGTTGGCTTCTATTGGTTACCATTCGGTCCAAGCATTGGTATTTTGTAAAGACAAATGAGATATATATAATATATATGTATTGAGTTTATGAAGCCTTGTATGTCTAACATTATTGATAAGAGATGAAATTTTATGTACTATTTATTCTTGATATCAATGATTTAACAATTTAAACATGATACTTAATTTATTTTATGATTAAAATAATTATTAGATGGGATGGTTAGGAAACATATTTAAGTCAAAATGAAAATGAAAATGAAAATACTTTTCTTTTTACCAAACACTTGAATAGAAAAATCATTTGAACATAATACATTTTTTGGTCATTATACACAACTCACATAACTTTTACACAAAAATTTACCGAACACTAAGAAAATGATTATTGTACCAACATCAGTTTTAACAAAAAGATTACCAAATGCCAAACTGCTTTATTTCACACCTGATTTCTCTCAACAAATCTAACAATGATTATTTTCACAGCACATTAATGCCAAACTGGCCCTAAATTTAGTTATCTCATCGCATTTTGTCAAATCTTTCTCAAAATTGGTCACCTAACCAACTTATATTTACAACATATACACTCATGACACAAAGTAAAGCTCTCATATTTTTCTCAATGAGGCTATGTGCGTTCTGTCATTGATGGACGGTAAATGTAAAACTCTAAGAGTGTAATAGCACTTGAAACCCATGTTTGGTAAGATACGAGACTAACTTAAATGAGATTATATAGTCCCACAGTAAACAAAACCCCTCACTCACTCCTCTAATTTAGTGAGGTTGAAAAGTGGTTCGCAATATAGTGCCCTCGCTAGATTGAACACGCGTTCTTCTTCTTAACCTGGAATTGGATTTTCTTGAATTGTGTTTTCAGTAACCCATATTCACTGAAGTCAAATCCTTGGCTTGAATCAAACCACAAACACCCCCTCTCCCAAAACCACAATCAACCTAGTTTACCTAATTTATGCAACCAAACAAACCCGAAATCACTGGCTGGACAAGATCGAAGAGGACGTGTGGGAAAAACGCATTTGCTGAAGTCTTTGCCTAAGGCTTTCTCAATTGAATAAAAAGGCGTCAAAAGGGGAGAAGAAGAATTGGGGAAAAAAGGGATGTGGAGGTGGGTTCCGATGGGAATGAGAGAGAGAATCATGGAGGTTTATGATTAAAGAAAAAAAATAGAGAGAAAAAAGGGATGTGGAAGTGAGTTGTGATGGGAGAGATAGAGAATGAGGGAGGTTTTTGAATAAAGATAACAAATAGAGAGAAAAAAAAAAGGTAAAAAGAATGGGGATGTTGGGTTTCTGATTAAAGAAAAAGAAAATAGAGAGAAAAAAAGGATAAAATGAATGAGAAGGCTGGGTTGGGTCTGAATCTAATGATTTTTTGTTTTTTGTTTAACATAATTTTAGCCTTTAAAAAATATCAGAATTTTAGTTGTTTTCTTTTTATTATTGTTTTAAATATAATTATTACAATAATTATTTTTAAGTCCAACACATCATCAAACATAGGTCTTCATTATTTTTACAATCGAGTTTTTTAGTCCGACGTGGCACCAAACGTAGGTCAATACTTAATCCAGCTTAGGCCAATCCAAGACAGTCCCATGATTTAATCCAGTTCATAACAGTCCGCTGTACCAAATGACCCATAATTGGATAAAATATGACATTATTGAGGAAATACGTGAGTTTTAGGACAATAAGTTGGTCATGTGATGGGTTGAAGCATGGACGAATGCAGCTAATGGGCTGTATGGGTTATAGCCCATGCCAACAAAAATTTGATTTTTAAATGTGATGTAGTCTTAGCCCCAAAAAAAATTATATATAGCTAAAAAGAAGGGATAGCTCACTTCGTACTTGCATTCACAGCAAACAGAGTCAAAACTTACTTGAAACAGGGTTAATACACACCTACCACTTGATTGATAGATTGATTCGTTTAGTGTTAACTCTTCCGGTTTCTACAACAACAATAGGATGTGCATTTTCTTCTATGAGACTTATCAAAAATCGACTTCGGAACAAGATAGAGGATGAGTTTCTTGCTGATTGTATGATACTTCACATTGAAAAAGAATTTGTTGATGGTATTGATAACGAATCAATAATTAATTATTTTAACTCTTTGAAGCCTAGAAGGGTACAACTCAAATAGTTGTATTATGTATTTGCATTGCATGTTTATTTATTATTGTCTCTTTTTTACTAGTTTATATCTCATGTACTATATGTATTTTGAGGGTACGGCCCAATATTTCCCCCTGATTAGGTGTATAATTTTTGTTATCAATTAAATTCACTCGTACTGTCAAGTTTGTTTATAAGAGAAATCCAACCTAGTGTATTTTGAAATCCTGGATTCGTCCTTGGATTGAAGCCTACACTCATCACGCACCTAGGTGCTTAAGGCGGATTGATGAGTTACAATTCATGGGCATGGATTGGTACAAATCGAGCTTGGATCATTCTATGGTGAGGATGTCAGATATGGACCATAGATGTGGACCTTCATATTAGCCTCACGATTCATTTAAATAGTAACTTCACTTAAGTTTAATACAATGATCCTATAACTAATATAAAAGTTCACATGAGAAGTCCATATATGGTACTCTCACTACAGAAATTCGCAATCAGAATGTGAATGAATGTGAATTATAGTCAGGTGCTTGATTGAAAAGGGATCCGAAACGTGGCAGCCTACTATAGGGCCTTGATGAAAGTAGCACGTCAACGAAGCAACGCCAGCTAAGATTCCAATAATGACCCTTACGGCTGGTGGAATTAAGCGGAGGGGCGAGGGTTATTACGGGGAAGTATATATAGAAAACGAGGGTAAGAAGGTATCCGAACGCAACCTGGCCTCATAAGCTCCCAGATCCTTCCTACCCACACCGGCACAAGGTCTCTCTCTTCCTCTCTAAAAATCCCCTCCTCCTCATTCTCCCCTTATCCTTTTAAGCTTCAGAATACAAATTTCTTATATAAAAACACACCTCAATTTAAAATCTTCCCGCTCCTCTTAACCCAACACCACCCTTTCTCGCTCGATCGATTTCCCCTGAAATCACCGCAGATCTGTGCTCCCCAAAAGGTCCGATTTTTTTTCAAACTTGGAACTTGTAAACAACACAATCCTCGTTCCTGATTTGATCTTTCATGCTTTATCTTCTCCTCAACTAAATCTGGAAGATCGTAACTATTTAAACCCATTTTATTATTACTAATGATAATTAAACAATCATCCCTAAATAAGGTTGATCTGATTTTCTCAAACATGAAAGATCTACCCTTTCACAAGAATCATAACTCCTCTTTTTTGCGTGTTTTTATTTGTTGTGTGCGTATTTTTGTTCGATCTTCGCCTTTGTCTTCTTGAAACGGAAAAATGGATAGATTATTATTATTATTTATATATGAAAAAAGAAATTATGTTTAGTTTACCCCTTATTTAAAATGACATATGAGATATGAGTATGTAGGATATATCAAATTCGTTGATGTGATTGTGTGTAATTGTGTTATGGTGTATATACAGTGGAAGTGCAAGGTCTCACTCAATACGAAAAATAGAACAAGGGAATGGCAGAACAAGGGTTAGAAGGAAGCCAACCAGTAGATCTCAAGAAGCACCCTTCTGGAATTGTCCCTACTCTCCAGTGAGTCCCAATTCCTTGTTCACAACCTGCTCTCTAATTCATGTTCCGGGTTGTCATGCCTAGTTAAGATATGATTCGATTTTCATAACCATTCAAAACTAGCATTTCTTTTAATGCCCTTTCTTGTAGTTACCAATGTTTTATGATTTGTAGAGTTTATCCCTGAAAAGTTGATGACTTTGTTCTACCCACGAAAAGTGATTGTAATTTTCTCTAATTCTGTACTTGGAATGAACATGCTCTCTAGTTTGCATCCATGCTGCGTGTGAATGCATCCCTCGTAATATTGTGTTTACCACGGTTACACTTTTTCCTTGTTTCTCCAACAAACCAGTCTATTGTGTTTCCTCCTTTTCTGTCTCTACACTTGTTGTGTGTTCATCTCGTGTTAGATTGTTTGCTGTGATTATGTGCCAATGTAAATGTTCATCCATGGAACCATTGAATTTAAATTACATGATTATGTGTGCTGTATGCCAAATTTTTGGGTCAAGCTCTCTCTGATTATATATTTCGTGTAACTATGAGCGGTTTTCTCAAATTGCTTCATGCATTTAATAAGTTGAGTGTGTTTTTTGCTTAATTATTTTATGCATTTCCCGGAAAACAATAAAGGTGTTGTCTGTGCTCTCAGGAATATTGTCTCCACAGTCAATTTAGATTGCAAATTGGATCTCAAGGCCATTGCACTGCAAGCTCGTAACGCTGAATACAACCCCAAGGCATGTGCCTTTGTTTGACAAGTACAATAAAGTTCGGGTATTTTTGTAGCTCCTTGGTAGAGCATCTTTGCCTGTTAGTATGGAGCTTCACTAGTTGGGATTTTATAAGTTTAGATGCTAGAGTTGCTATAATATCCATATACACTAAAGAGAATTTTCTTGTTTTAAATTACCTGTTAGATTGCAAATTAATTGTGGTGTACCCTTGCAGCGTTTTGCAGCTGTGATTATGAGAATAAGAGAACCGAAGACGACTGCATTGATATTTGCATCTGGTAAGATGGTAAGTCTCAATTTAAAACCAAACATCTTGTTTCCTTCCCTTTTCATCGATTCTGCATCATGTGCTTCATTTGTAATCATTTCACATGATGGATAGATGGGTTTTTTTTAATGTCTTGTTATGGTGTGTCTCACTCTTTCTATCCTTTTGTTTATGCCTAAAAATTGTATCTATTGATTTCTTCAGTATGGTAGTTTTCACTTTCTGTGATTTTATACATACAATGATATGATTCCACAAAAAAAAAAAAAAATTGATATGATTCCCTTCCCCCCC